CCCCAAAACCCCAAAACCCCAAAACCCCGTAATTTAAGAATTATCACAGCAGTGATCGATATAAGATTTTAAATAAAATGTACAATTTCTTTAAGTTTGAAGATGAAAGAAATGACAAACTGAAGGAAATGAGAGTCCAGAAGAAGCTGAAAAAAGTGCATTCACAATAGAGACTAAAAAGGGACGAACTAGTCACACATTATAATCACAGAATCTAAAGGTTTATCGTAGAAGTAATTATTTGTGAATTCACAGTTATTCTAATTTTACAGATGCTTGATAAGCCTATTGTTGTTAAGGATTTTTCACCAGCTGCAAAGGATTTCTCTCATCGAGAATAAGGTTCTGATTAAAAGATGCTCGGACCCTAAAGAGTGTCATCTTTAACATTTAAGACTGAAAGATAAAGAATTGAGGTAAATTTGTTAAAATGTATATTATCTGCAGGAAAATGTCAAAGAAAATCAGTAACTCTACGGTGACAAATTGGCAGAGAAATATGTAGATAGATGTAAATTACTCAACCTTAGAGAAAGACAAAAGGATAAAGAAATAGTCAAGGAATTTAAATTCTAACCAAAGACGAGTCTTGATAGAGTTAAAGAGACACTTCTGAAAAATCAATTTTACCTATAACTAGACAATAATCAACCAATCATAAGAAGAGATACTGCAAATGAAAGAGGAATAGGTTCAGGTGGGGCAAGTGCAAGACTAATGAGCCAGGCATAAAAAAGTAATTTGCTTCTAAAGATGGAAACTTTGAGTTCGGATGGAGGTAAATCCTCGACTCCAACTAGCTCTAAAGGGAGAAGTCAGCATGAATCTGTGGCTTATTATGGAAGTAGTAAAACAAGTAGAAATTACCTATTTAGACAAAAAATAAAGTAAATTGACAATAACAAGTTGAAGGACCTTGGGAATGATCATTCAATAGATTAGGTGAATACTAGCAAATAGAAAGATAAAAAGAAAGGAGATCATATAAGTAGCTTTATATTTGATAATGAGATTTCTCCCAAGGATCTTAGACCTGATCTTCATGTCAAATCGCATTTCAAAGGGACATAAATGCTCACTATAAAACCTTAGGTTAGCAAGGAATATTTAAGCTCATAGTATGGACATTTTAGCAGAGAAACTAATGGTCATAGTTCAATGAGCTAGTTTTTGATCCCAGCATTCACAAAAGGATGTAAAACAACAAGAGAGAACACTTAATCTGATTTTTACAATTAATCACTGAAAACAACTTAAAAGGAGAAAGAAAAGCTGAACTCACTTTAAGTTCTTTCAAGTAAGGCTATGAATCCTCTGAGATTAGATAATAAATCTACTCATGTCTAAAGTACAAACTTTATTTAATAAGAAGTAATCAAAAGTAGTAGCAATAAACCTCTGGAAAACATCTAATTGTCTTTAATCAGACCAAACTTGCAAATGATGAACAAAGGATCACTTCCATCCAGTCTATCAGTCCAATTTGCTGATATTATTACAAAGAATGATAAGAAAATCACTTTCTAAGCTTCTAGTCAAGGAGACAAGTCAATGAAGATACCGTTAAGCATTGGAGGAACTCCAGGTATTCATGGGGTGACTACTAGAGAGGAAAAGGAATTCGCTGTGAAAAGTAATGGTTAGGGGAAATATGCTCATGAGGTGTTGCTTATGTGCAACATGGCCAAGGAAAGAGATCCCAGAAGTATCAAATCAATGGGATCCATGACAATGACTCTAAAATAGACTCCTGAATATCTAAAAAAGGGAGATGGCAAGATGTCAAGTAATATTGATTAGAACAACTTAGAAATATATGAAAGAATCAAAAGAGACTTCTTTACTCAAAGAAATAAACATTGAAGCTTAATTAATCTTTATTTCATTGAATTTTATTACTAATGATTTATGGTTTTAGGGGTTTTGGGGTTTTGGGG